TATAATCCATAATATCGAATCAGAAAATCTACAATTTCTGGTCGCTTAGCTTTCTCCAATAGAGCTGTAGGAATGTTTTCCTTTCCATTATAGTGAATAGATTTTAGCCTCCATTTAAATTCTTCAAACTCATCCTCAAGAAGATTATTCAATGCTATGTAAAGATCATCTCTCTCAGTGCTGTTCATTTCAATTATTATGGATTATATCTAAAATTAGAATTAAACAATTAAACTAACATTTTTGGAAATGAAATTTGATGGGAACAATATTTTCTATTTTCAAATTAAACTAGATAACTCATTCACAAAGGCATACACAGTCCTTTTTAATCAATAATCATGTTCATTTTTATCCATTTTCAGCAAAACATCTGTAAGATAATTTCCATTTTTTATACAGTGATTGTTTTTCCCTCCCTAATCAAACAATCAATTTAGCCATTTCTGTAAATTCTACCAACTTCACAATCAACTCCTCTTTTGTGTATATTTCTATATTTTCTTTGCATATAATAGCCTCCCTCAATGACCATATATAAAATCATGAATATATTTAATTGTCTATCCATAAGTTCTAGTAAGAAAAAATCTGGTTTCATCTGAATAGTTTTTAATTCTCTGCATAACCATACATATTGGCATCCAATTTTTTTTTGTTATTTCACTAGTCTGCCATGCATGGTAAAATGTTCCTTTTTTGGTTTACACATTCCCAACAGCACTTAGAAGCAGGGGTAAAATTCAGCAGGTCCTGGAAAACCACTAGCGGAAATTTTGAGTAGTTTGAAGAACCGGCAAATACCATATCTGGCTGGCCCCAGAGTAGGGTGGGAATGGAGATTTTGCAATATCGTTCCCCCAGGATTGGGGAGCGAATGGGGATTTTGCAGTATCCCTCCCCTGCCATACCCACCAAGCCATGCCCACAGAACTGGTAGTAAAAAAAAAAGAATTTCACCACTGCTTAGAAGTAGTTTTATACATTTCAGGTAATGTGTCAGATGCCATATACCAAAGGTATATCATTTATAAAAATTCTCTAAGATGTTCATTTCAGAGCTTTTGACCACATCTCCAATTTGTATGTTATAACCATCATTCTTAGTCTATTTTATCATGTGTTTTCATCTGTTTCCAACATTCAAATCTCAACAGAAGTGTGCACATTTTTGCAGTTAGGTGTTCCCCATAGGGACATAATTCAATTTCAAGCTCAATGTTGTTCTATATGGATAGCCTTTGATCTAGAAGGAGCCCCAGGCTTCATGAAACTTTGGAGATCCTGGAGACTCCTTTGTCACCTTCTCCAGTTTTTCAACTGCAAGCGTTGGGGTTTCTCTTGCTGTCCGAAGACTTCTGCTGAGGTGTTGCTTTGGGGTTGGAGTCTTCTCTTTCCAGAGTTTCTTCCTGGCATAGTTCCTTTCCCGACACCCCAGGCCAGACTCCCATTCAGTTCCCTTTTCAGAAAACAATCTCCCTAATTAAAGAGAGCTGGAGCTGCTTTATTCTTCCTTCTCAGATAGCACCAAAGTCCTTGATCCCGGGAGGGGGGAGAAATGCCTGCTCCCTCCAGGTGGTGAATTCACTCTTCCACTGGGTCTGCATCAGGATGTTTACAATTCTCTTTTCTCTTTTGTGATTGTGATTCAGTCCAACCAAAAACTGTATATAAACCACATTTACCTTTCATATTTTACATATGAAAACAAGAAGAGAAAAGCTATTATTATTTCCAACTAAATAAACTGCATTATTAGTGCTTTAAACCTTTTTTTTTCTTTAACCACCCTCAGCCAGCTATTGGGGCTTAGTTTCTGGTTGATGCTTGCCCTACTAGGTAACAGCTTTACTACAGTAAAGATACAGCTGACAATGAGTGATGAGAAATCTCTGCTTGCCAACCCTTCATTGCTTAAATAAAATACAAGGAAATACTTTCCTTTAGGCTGGCTTTTGCTACAGGAACAGTCTGGAGGTCTCTGATCACTAGAAGTTTCTGCATGTGCCCATTCACAAACACCTCCTATAAGCATCTATCCTGAAAAGCTAGTGGCCCATGTTAAACGATGTACTGTTTAGACTTACCACTCTGCAGTGAATAATCCTATGCTGAATTGCATAGCAGATGAAAAGAACTTTCTATTTCACTTTCAAAAGTACAGTTATTCCAACCCACTTCCTCCTTGTATCTCAAGTCCACTTTTCCTTAGTGTTGATGGTCGATCCTAAAAGACAGAAGAAAGCCACCACTTCAATCCTTGACATAAGACTGTAATAGACCCCCCCATTAAGTCGCAACTCAAGATGGTCATAAAGTGGGTTACCATGTGACCAGTCCCAATTTTACAAATGTTTTTGCAGCAGCTGTTAAACAAACATTGTGCTCATTATTCCTATGGGACATTTTTGTTGAAAAGCAGAAGAAAATGCCAGTTTTCAGCAAAAGTATCAGAAATCAGTCATGTAATCATGTGATACCACAAATGGCATAAATGGGGACTGGTCACAAGTATCCAAAATGCAGTCATGTGATTGGTGGGGCATCTGTCAGAACTTTGGAACTGGGTGATAAGTACAGTTTGGTGGGAGAAGGGTCCGTTGGAAGTTGTAATAGTCATTAAGCAAATGGTCATAATTCGAGGACTTGTATCTTCATTATCAATCTTGCAGTTATTTGCTTCACCTGTTGCTATTAGTTTGGTTTCCTATATATTTAATCTTAGTCCCATTTGGGGGGGGGG